CAAAGACATTATCAATTGGTCTACCTAACTCCTCACGCAGAATAGTTTGTATCTCTTGAAACGGAACTGCAGGAGCTCGGTCAAAACAGTACTGGAACTCCTCGACATACTCTGGAGGAAATAATGTTGGTGCAGACGCAATGAACTGCGTATTTCAAGATCAACAATGCAAAAGTGACCTACTCTTTAATGCACAAGGATTAATCAGCAAATCCTAGTGAACTACAACTAATGAACATATATCCTGTTAAGGAATATAACTCGTCATGTATCTATACAGAGAATAAATGTCGACAATAATTATCCACTAGTTTCACAGCATAAAATTGAATAAAATCATATAGAATACTGTAGTTTTATTTCCAATAGTAGACGAGTTCTACCATCTTTCCAATAAAAACATCATCAAAGAATTATTCTTTTCTTACCTGACCTAATTTGATATATGTAGCACCCAGGCGTTCAAACAATTTCCTCAAATAAAGGGGTGATACTAATCCAAGCTGCAACTGAGTCGATAATCCAGTAGAAGAGCTTGCTGTCTACAGAAATTACACAGCATTAAGACCTAGGACAAAATACATTTTTTATTGATAAGTAACAATTAAATTCGAAAATCAGGAAAAACAGAATCATATTCAGAATTGAAAAGCAGCCTGCATGAAAACTCATACCACCAATTGCGCAAATAAAAGGATGTTTATCAGTCACCCATCTAATATCTATGGATAATTCGAGGATGTTCTAAAATAACAAAAGATACAGCCGCCTGTGTATTGATTACATGCTTTTACAAATAAAGTAGGATTTAAGTTACAAATAATGACATGGCTTACAAATATGACATGACATCCTTTAGCTATCCTCCAAATGTTTGATCTTCAACACTATTACCTTTGATGCATCTGCTAGCCACTCGCTACCGACACCAATGACTGCTTGAATACCCTGAGCTAATCTAAGGGCTCCACGTGGACCTGTATTTATGGATGTCTGGACGATATCCTCCATGAGTTTGGGCAATTTCTCGATACTATCTGCAGAAATACAGAGCCTTAGGAAAGTTTTACTATTATATCCATATATCTAATGGTACTACTAATTCACTGTAGTTGAACAAAAAGGACATCCATAAAGCCTCTGGTGGAACTATTATACCATAGTACTGTCATATATAGGCTAAAAGCAGCATGAATATAAGACATGATCACTCAAATGAATGAAAATAAATGATCAAGTGGAACAAAAACATTTAAACAAAAGTTAGCACTAGCTAAAAATGCATACGATCACACTCTTCCCGCTTTCTATTGCTTATATAAGTAAATATCATTTACTACAATGACAAAATTAATTCCATAACCTTAACTAACTTTGACTCTCTGAAATATGAAAAATAATCATATGGGGCCAGCTATCAGAACCGAGAATAAGTGATGATGCCTTATCGATCATATACTATACAAAGCTTGAAACTGCTAGTAGCTATTAAAGCCAAACTAAATTCCACTAATTCTATTTCTGAATACCCCAATTCCATGACTCTACTTACAGAGTAAAAATTAAAACCAAAATCAAGCGTTGTCAGATATTAATTAAGCAAAAATAAATCAAAAAAGTGATCGATATTCGAATTCATTGAGTATCTAAATTAGACAAATATAAAACGTGTATTACCTTGAAGACGAGAGGTGAAGAGATCCTGGGACCGAGAATATCGAGCAAAGAGAGTGAATCCATTGGACCGATATTTGAGCTTTCTTATCGGTCTACCAGATATAGTTACAGGTACTGGCAACTGTAATCCACACATAATCAGCAAATAAATTATTTTTCCATTGACAACAATACTATTACACACACGCATATAATTATAAATGCATAAATAAATTATAAGTTGAGAATTGTACCTGAGAATGTTGAAATATGGGTAAACGAACGCCTCTAAAAGCTGAAACCGTTGCCATTTCTGTATATTTCTCTACCTTTTGACTCTTACAGTAATTAAATAAATAGTGAATTCAAACTAGATATATAGTTTCGTTAATCAATTTAGGGGAAAATCTTAATTTCAAAATGAATAAATTATGCAATTTTCTCGTCAATTAATTGCGCGGGAAAGCGATAGCGAGGACGTGCCGGAGCGTGAACTGGGAAAAGTAGATGCACAAAATACCGACGCCGTCCTTGGAAGAAAAATATCTTCTAACAAAATAGAGAAATGTGAGGTACCACGTGGCACATTGAGGGACCGTTACCAAAATAGAGAAATGTGAGGTACCACGTGGCACGTACAGGGACAGTGCATCTGAAGTAAATAAGTATTTACTTTTCGGTACTTTAATTAAGGAAGGATTGACCAAAATCACACAGCCTCACCATTTAACAACGATATAAGACAATTTTTTTTTTTTTTATAGAATTTGTAAAAAAAATAATAATAATAATTGTCTTTTTATAATTGGCTATTGTCAAAAATAATTTTTAAAAACAGTAAATTACAGGAAGACAACTGTCATTGAAATATGTACTTGCACATTGATTGATTTAAATAATGTTATTTTAGTAGCTTATTATCTCAGTCGTCATACGTAGTATACATGTGATGTTTAGTGATTTGATGTATAAGAAAATAAAAAATTATCACATTAATTCATCAAATCACTAATCGTAATATATATATACCACGTAAGACGACTACAAATAACATTACTTTAGCAATTTTTTCCTCAAAGTAGTCTATTTTTCTCAATGTTATAAAACCCTACCAGACTACCGATCCAAAATTAAGTAAAAAGGTCAAGGATTAAATAGTTCAACGAATTAAAACGGGATTGAACTATATTTATTTTAATATTATAAATAAGTACAAAATTATATTTAAGTCCTTGTTGGGGGAAGATTAAAATTAAATTTATAATTTTGATAAAAATTGATGAAATTTATTATTGAAATGTTGTCGATATCATAGATATATAATTAAAATTAATTCTTAATTTTAATTTTAAATTTAATCTCCATCGAACCGGAGGTAAAATTATATTAATTTTACTAATTCTTTACAAATTAATAAAGAGTAGCAAAGTGGGCTCCTCTCTCCTCCAATATTTTTTTAAGCGGCTATTTGTATAAATTAAAAGTTAGATTTTAATTTAAGTCAAACTCAACAATTAATTTTAATCACATATATTTATATGTTACACAATTTTTCAATTATATATTTCATCAATTTTTTATCAAAATTTATTAAAAATATGATTCTGACCCTCCTAATATCTACTAAAAACTAATTGGTAATAGCTATCCACATCGAAAGATATGTGATATGAAAGATAGAACTCGATCATTCAACATGTACTCGTACAACCATTTGATAAATATGAATAAATACTATCTTAAGAAAACATGACCCTTTAAAGTTGACAAATTAAGCCCTCGTTTGATCCCATTCTTTTCAAATTTTAATGGTTGAAATAATATTTTTTTGAAAAAAGTGTAGTTGAAAAATAATGAAAATATTATTTTATAGAAAATTGTGTAGATGAAAATAAGAGAGAAAAAAAAAAGAGAATGAGAATGGGAGTCAAACGGGGGCTAAGACTCGCTTAGCGGGTCTTTGGAAATCGGTCGGGTTGTCGATTCATTTTGCCAGTTTTAAATGGAAGGTTTTCTTGTCTAATTGTCAAGAATCTGAGGTCGATTTTCAATTTTATCAACTGAACCAATCGAGTCAGACATGTTTTTATAATATTGATTCTACTTTTGACTTTTATCTTCGACCTTCTAGTAATGTGTTCGGTGATTAGTGATGGTAAAAAAACTTGTCCCGTCCTGATGGGACCTCGCCCCGAACTAGTTGGCGCGGCGGGGCAAAGATGCCCCGCTCTCTAACCCACCCCCTGAAGGGGAAAAAAAAAGATTAAAAATAATTTTATTTATAGACAATTCACCCGTTAAAAATTCATTTTGAATTTATATTTTATTCTCTAATAATAACATAATTCGAAACTTTGAAAACATAAAAAAAAAATAAATAAAATTAAACGGGGCAACAAACGAAACAAAAAGTTACTTCGTCCCCGCGCTGCCCCGTCTCGTCTAAGGCGAAGCGGGGCGAGATGGGTTGGAGGCACTCTGCCCCGAATTCGCTCCCGTTCCCATACCTATTAGTGATGATTCATTTCCACCCAAAATTTTAGCTAGAAAATAAGAAAGTGAAATAATAGTCCTTACAATCAGACGAAGAAAAAAATAAATAATTTCAAAAAGAAGAAAAGCCCACAAAAATAATAAATAAATAAATAAAAAGTAAAATAAACCAACAAAGACCACCCCTAATCTTCATCTTCATTATCAACCCATGCTCCCCACCCCAAAAATAAAATAAAATAAATAAAAAGAGAAACGAAAAAGAAAACTACCGCCAATCCTTATTGAAACATTTTTATTTGGTAGATTTTTGGCTATAAACGATTTATTTTCCCAATTTTGTAGTTTTAAGTTTATCTAGCATATTTGATTACGCTTAAAATTGTTATAAATTAGTTAGATTTGAAAGAATTATTATTATTTGAATTGATCAAAATTAGAGATTTGCTTATTTTGATGTAATAGTTATTGTTTAACAGAACATTAACCAGCCAATCAACTTCTCTTTAGGTATGGCAACGGGGTGAAGCCACTGTCGAAATTTCCAAAACAGGACAGGACCCTTCCCGTTCCTCCTGCCGAAAATTTCCGAAAAGAAAGAGAATGAAAACCTCATTTTCTCCCATTTTTTTAAAGATTTAATGTTAAAAACATTAAAATAAAATACAATGAACTAAAATAGAACATCAGCAAAGTCTTGTGTGCTACAAGCACACCTTTACTCAAATGGATATAAAATATAAGAATACAATTCTGCTTGCATAAGCGTAAATAATCTCACAATATGAGATTTAAGACTAGTCTGAATCCGATTCAGAATCCGTATCCAACTGCGTCTGAAGAGGCTCATTCCTATCTTAAAGAGACCGTTTTACTTGGGATGAAAAGTTCAACGAATAAATAATTTAGACAGCCCCAAATCTGGATAAAGGAGAAGGTATTTTATTATTTTAATTCTATGATTAAATTTTAATCATTCAAATAATTTTTAAAAAAATTATTTACAATAGACTCTTGTAAAATTTTAACTCTACTTCCATATCACATAGCCGATCCCAATCCTAGATAAAGGATAATGGTTTTTACAACTTTAAATTTCTTTTATTAAACACATTAACAAAATAATTTTTCAAGTTCACTGCCACATTGCAATGGGATTACATACCAGACAAAAATAAAAATTTCAATAAAAAAAAATAAAAAATAAAAAATAAAATTGAAAAAGGCCAGCAAGCAGCTCATGAGCCTGCTCAACTTGCCCCACCAACAGGCGAGCTCGTGGGATGACCCAAGCCAACATTTTTGGAAACGAGCCTGCTCATGTTCAACTCGCCCTAAAGTGAACAAGAGCCAACTCTTGCCAAGCCAAGCCAAGCCTGAGGGTCAGTGAACCAAGCTGAGACCCCTATGGAAGCATAAATTTCAATACATTTATCAATATTTATGGAAGTGGAATAAACCTCGTTTAATCCACATGCTTTTCTGGAATTTTGCTGGGAAAATTGCTAGTGATTTCTGGCCTTTTGCATCCATCACCTTCATATACAGATTATAAGTTTTAAGTGCAACCTCTAATTTGAAAACCACAGTTACTTAGAAAGTGTAAGTATACCTCAATAAGATTGGAGCCCCTGAGATCCACAACTTGCATTATACTTTGGCCCTGTTGAAGAGTCGCCATCTCTTCCTCAACTGCCCTCTTGAGATTCTTCCTCCCTCCTCTCATTTCTTTACTTCTTACTCTGGCAAATAGGAACAGTTCAAAAAAGGAAAAGGGGCACAAAGAAAACATAATATCAAAATTCTATACGAAACTGCTAAGAACAGACGTCATGACCAGCCGAGCAAGTTCCTACATGAAGCACTGCCATCAGTTTCAGGTGGAAAATGATATGCAAAAATGAATCATCATTCACTATATTCTGTTCCCAATTCCATTTTTGGTATAGTTGAGTCCCAACAATAGCCATCCCAATTCCCAGTAACCCAGGGTCCTCAATTTCACCCAAAAAGAAAAAGGTATTAGTCATTCCAACCAACAAGTAGAATTTCACCCCACAACCCCACGTTGGCCCAAAACTACCATTTACTTCTTTTTTTCCAACTTTTCCACCATCCTTCACCATAAATCCTTCGCCAGTCACCTCACACAGGTGCTAATCTCCTCCACCAGCTGTTTCATGACATCTTCCGATTCTTTCCCCACAACACCAACGAGTGATGGAGCCAGAATTTTTGCCTTATCAATGTTACATGGAGCAGTAAAAATATTTTGAAACAACAAAGGGAATTTAAAAATGCATAGATTGAAATTTCTTCTTTACCTTTTAAGAGAATGCAGAATGAATAGATTATACACCTTCAACAAGAAAATTTAAATGCTGATTATGTAGAAGATTTAGATTGCAATGCTGATCAACACGGCAGGACAATGGTCAACAGGCAAGAGAGAGTTAGAAATATTAGGGTTTGGCTTTGTGGTATATTTGGTGGTTGGGGGGTTTAGCTTTCAGAAGAAGAGAGATTGACAAAATTTATCCATCCACAACACGTAAATATTAGTTTTCATTTTTTTTGAAATAGAAAAAAATTCAACAAGTTTGTGGTGGCCACTACACCTCCCCTTGCTCAATGTGGCTCCGCCACACACAGCACAACAATTCTCAGAACCACCATGAAACGCGAATTCAAGAAAAACCAAAGCATTAAGCAGCTAAACACAAATTATTGAGTTTTCAACAACGCGGGGCAGAAAGAATTAGTTAATCGGGACGCACCTGTTAAATAAATTTACGGAGGATGAAGGACGGCAGTGAACGCGGAGAGAGGGTAGTAAATGCAGGTTACAGGGCAAGTAGCTGAATCCAATAAGGATACCCAATTTTAACAACCGTTTCCACTCGGGTCGGGTCGGGTCGATACTTCAGTATGTAAAAATTTATTTTTAAAAGGAGAAATTTACAAAAGAGCCCTGTATTTTAGGGTGTATTCACAATTTGCATACTGCATTCCGTATGTTGGTAAAATAACACATTTTGCACAAAAAATGTGATGTACACTTTTTATTTTTGGGACATGTTTGTTTGGACATCGCTTGGATCTATCCAAATATTGTAATTCTCAGAACCATCCATTACACTTCATATAATTTATAAATGGAATCATTCGAGTCCATGTAGTTAATAGAATCAATTCTAAATTCTAATTGTCGATTTCAATTTAGGTCTAATTTTACACATAATACTTGAAAAAAAAATATTATGAATTGATAATACAAATTTTCTATCAATATCTAGAAAAAAAAAAAAAGAAGAAGAAATAAATTATGTCATCAAAATAGCATTTAATATCTCATATATGACAGAACATAAACATAAAATTACATATCCAAAAAACGAATAAAAAAAATTAGAAATCAACAATAAGGGAATACTAGATTCTGCAAATGCTAAAAACAACATAAATTTATTTATCAATAAAGAGCACAACAATTACATTTTCGACTTTTCTTTCCGTTCCATCATGTCATTGGATCATGGTAAATAAATGGTAAAAAAAATAAAAATAAAAATTATAAAAACAATAAATTTGGTTACAAGTCAAGGTAGCCACAGTTCCGTTTCAAGAACCAAGAACTTTTTGAGACCCGATCGGTTCTTGATTTCGATTCCTAAATATTTTTCTTTCTTGAAATCGAACGGACACCTTCAATTTCGGTTCTTTGGTTTAGATTAAAATGCCCACCCCTGGACATGTATGTAAGATTGTTAACTGTAAGGGTTTGTTTGATTACGAAAATGGAATTTGGGTGGAAAGAAAATGAATTCCATGGAATTGAATTACTTAGAAATTATTTTCCTGGGAATTATAAATTATTATGTTTGATTGGTATAATTTTTCACGTGAAAAATGTTGAAGTAAAAGTGTTTTTTAGTGTTCGTTTGACTTTGTTTTACATGAAAATTGTCAATTTAAGGGATATCCACTTTTACCATTATTCCTAGAATTTGTTTCCATTGTCAACCAATCAACTATGTTTTATTGTTCGTTTGACTTTATTTTACATGAAAATTATCAATTTCAGGGATATCATCTTTTATAATTGTTCATAGAATTTGTTCTCATTGCCAACAATTAAAAAAAAAAGTTGGAAAACCAAAAACCACATACCCTTTAGAAAAATAAAAGGTGAAAAATCACGCTTTAAGTTGTACCTAGAAATTCATGAAAAATCAATTCCCTGAAAAATTTTGACAATCAAACAAGCCAAAATTGAAAGTCGAAATTCAAATTTCAAATTCCATAGAAAATTTCGTGCAATCAAACGGCCTAACTAGTTTTTCAAGAGACACGGGAGATCTGAAATAACATAACCCATCTCATATTTCCACTAAAAATTTCAGTGCAAACAGATACAAAAAGAGGAGTAAATAGCCAACACGAAAAACTGTCTGTCTTTTGTACAATCCAGAGCTCAAGTCCTAAGAAAATTATCCAACACATTAGCCGTACAGAATACAGATAAAGTTCAGGCTTATGCTAATGAAAAAATTGAACTAATCATGCTCGAAATCATTATGAAATGAGCCCCGATTTGTATCCGTCCTCTGTAAGAAACACTTGCCAACATCAACCGAATCAGAACTTCCAGCGATTATTACAGTTTACACAAGTTACGAATGTGGTCATAGGCTCATCAGCACTACGAGTCTGCAACTGATAGTACGTACATTCCTTCTTCTTGCACCTACCACAAGTGAATTCTTTGGTACTCGCTTTGGGAGGCCCTCCCTGTTCACACTCAAGTAACTTTTTCTGTTTAATTTTTTCGTTCTCCATCTGCCTTTCTTCGCTGGCCATTTCTTCTGGTGTTAATTCAAGAATCCCATGTGGCTCGATATACCCAAGGAGAACTTTTCTCCGAAAATCAGGGTTATTTTGGTCCTTGATGTTGAACATTACTGACCTGTACTTGAACTTCTGGGCACCATTGGATTTACCCCACTTCTCGAACATTGCAGTCTCCACTAAGACAGCAACTCGATAAGGATCAGATGCATCTACGTCATCTCTTAAATCGTCATCAACCTCACTAGATACTTTGCACAAGGCTTCTGCGAGCATTTCCCGTATTTTGTCCCTTAACGAGTCCTTGCAATAAATTATGGAAGTCAGTTTGGGAGGACCAACGGGATCTGATGCTTGTCCTCGCACTTCAGTTCTTGACTTATCTTCTCTAAATTTTTTCTTGACATGTATGGATTCTGCAGCAGCATTCTCTGTAGTTTGGACTTCAATATTCTCGACTTTTTTCACAGTAGACGAAGTATCTGACTTCATAACCTTAACAGAATTTGGTATACCGGATCCATGAACTCCCTCCACCTTCACGGAATCATCATTGTCAACCGTCCCATTCTTCTTGTTTTCCATTGTTTCTGTAATAATTATGCTCTTCCATATTTCAACCACATCAGAAGCCAACGCCTTGATCTTGTCACTTCTATGTTTCGTCAATTGCCGGATGCGCTTTCCAACCTAAAACATAATTGTTTAGCAATACGATCAACTGAACCATGGATAAATATTTAAAGTGATCAATACATCAAATATGGCGGCATTGATTCATTTAGTTGAACAGGTGTTGCTTGTTAAGGAATAAATCATACTGAAATACAGACCAACAGATGAGGGTTTGGATTACTCCTCTTAATTAGGTTGATCTTTTAATATGAAACTCCAATTCTTGATATGGTATCAGATTTCATTAAGCTCAAACGAGGAATTCGATCCGATTAAAACTAAAAAAATAAACATACGAATTTCAAGATTGGTCTACTTAAACGAGTCACATCTTATGAGGCATGTTAAGGATAATTCTTACATTGATTTAATATCAAAATATAGATCAACATATAAAGGCTTGGGCTAGTTGACTTTTATGATGGGTTCAAGTCTTGATAACACAAATTTTAAGTTCTGTTACTATAAAGATTTTTGTGATACAACACTGTAGTTCTCATGAAGGATCAAAAGGGTAATAAAACAGAATTCTACAGGAAGGAACTTGATAACACCTGTGTTGATACTAGCAATTCATAACTGACAGGGAATTTCTTGAGTCGTCTCAAAGCATCAAGACAGCGATCCTCCGCCGCTGGTGAATTCTCGGCCGCCTCTGCAGCCTTCTTCACTGCCTCAAAAAGCTCAGTCAGCTCCCTCTCCATTAATACTCACTCTCTGTCCAATTCAAAAAACGAAACTGCCCATAACATACAATCTCATCATTCTCCCACAAAAAAATAAAAACAAAAATTAATAAAAAATTCTCCATTAATACTCACTCTCTGTCCAAACACGAAACGACCTATAAAATACAATCTCATCAAAAAAAAAAAAACAAACAAAAAAAAAAAAAAGTGAGAAACTCTATAACATTCATATATCAAGAAATCTAAAATGGAACAAGAAACAGATAACAAAACCCAAAAGTTTTACCCAAAGCCAATCGATATTTCAATTAACTTTAGCTAGAATAAAGCACACAGAAAAAATTAATAGCATGGAACACTGGTGCTTCGAATCTTCTAAACGCAAAATAAAACCAAAAGTAAAACCTCATATCTTCAACCGAAAGAAGAGTTTTCAATGGATTAATCACATATTGCAAACAAGAAAAAAAGGGGGGGAAGCCGCGGAATATTAACTCACAACAAAACGTCAACAAAAAACTTGCCCAGAAAAAAGAAAATCATACATCTAAATAAAAAAAATGGGTTTCCGAATATTTACCTTCTTAGATTAGAAGATCGAATGAAGAATATGTCAGGGCTCTCAATAGAACGAGAGCCGAGTTAGGTGTGGCGAGTCTACCTTCTCTTCAATTTCTGTGTGTTCTCAACATTGGAAAGGACAGAGATGAACAAGGTGGTTATATCAGGTGTATTGGACAGTGAGGATTGGTTCAAGAATATCCCAATCCAACGGTTGACAATGATGCGTTTGTAAGATGTTGGAAGAATCCTTCGTAGGTTCTAGAGGGCACATAATTGACGTCAAAGATGTGTAATAAGATTTCTTAATAATTACTTTATACATAATATGAATAAAATAATGCTTATTTTCAAAACTTATAGAACATGGTTTTTTTTTTTTTTTTTTTTTAATGATAGTGGGAATTCAGGTCAACTTACATATATCTCGACTAATTTTACGGGATTCTAAAATTTACAGTCAGGTACTCATCTCAGTGACTTTAAGGAGATTCAAACTGGTGACCATTGAAGAGCAAACTCAAGGCCTAACAACTGAACTATCCCTCAAAGTCAAAATTTATAGAAATTAGCCCCCGTTTTATTCTCATTTTTCTAAGAATGAAAATGAAAAATATATTCGTTACGAGACCCACACAAAAGATAGAAAGTTAAATATAATAGCTTGATATGATTGATAACAATCATATTTTTCATTTTTGTGATCAAAGAATGGAAATCAAACGGGACTAAATATATATTTTCAATAATAACATAGTTTCGATATCATAAATACCTCAAATTAATAATGCTTTTTCGTGGGCAAACAAAGCTATGTTCTTGAGTTTGGATGGATTTTTATTCACCTTTTTTTTTTTTTTTAAGTCTTAGTATTTAAATATATTATTAGATTGAATTTTAAATCAAGGAAATATCACTCGCTAAATAAAAAAGAAGTACCTGCCCAGACAAGTCTCTTAGAATGCTATTTTTACTCTTAAGTTGATAATTTGGTGTAAAATCATAAATGTTAATGTTAATAGTTAGCTAAATTGGCCTCTTTTCCATGTTTTATACAACCTAAAATCAAATAGTTAGTAACGATTAAGATAGGGAGTAGCTAAGATCAACTAATGTTTATAATACATGTGATAGAGCGTGTATATTCATATTAATTATGTATAGAATTATAGTTAATTGTAAAAATCTAATCTTTCTCAACAAAAATCTAATATTATTGAAGTTCAATGTTTCTTATTAAAGAGACAACCTTATTAAAAGTAGTTATATTTTCATTTATCTTTATTTGATGTGAAATTTATTCCATAATATTAAAACATTTGATCTAAAAGTTTAAACTGTTAGATCGAACTAAATGTATATCATTTTTTCTCATCAAAGTCTAACACATGGATAATTCATTTAAACGGGCGTTAACGAACTTTAACACATGACACCATATTGAATCACTTAATCTAAACACTTGAGTTTTTAGAACTTGCAAAATGTATGTCTTTTTAAGTATTATCTTGAAAGTAGAATGCAATACTTTACGTATATCATTTACAATGGGAACTGACACGACTGACTAACAGTGAAAGGGGGCAATTGGTAATATTCCTAAACTATCCATGGTAAAAAAAAAAAAAAAAAATTAATTACATTTAACTTGCCTCTTTTACCCTCCCTCATGTTGGAATATTGTGTATTTTAAACATCCAACTTGCCAAGAAGTTGATGGAATTCAGATGATCCAAGAGCTTTGGTGAAAAGATCTTTAGGTTGCTCAGCAGTGCTCAAGTATTTTGTTTGAATAACTCCAATTTTCTCGTGAACAATATGACAATCTATTTCTATGTTTCATTCGTGAAAGTAAGGAATATGCATTGACTTGTTGCTTGTTTGATATATCTCAACACTATATGATTTGCCTGAAAATGAGGTCTGCGAGGACTGTCCATAAACTGACTTTACACTTGAATAGAGTATACCAGATCTGGCCTTGTAATCGTTAAGTAGATTAGCCTCCCAACTAGCATGCGATATGAGGAAGGTCTCTCGAAGGCTTACCATTCTCTTCATCAAGTTTCAAACTTTTGCTCCAAGGGAAATTTTGATGGTTTTGCACCTAGAAATCCTATATCTTCTGCTATTTCAAGTGCATACTTTCCTTGTGACAAGCTCTTTGTTATTGACCAACCAACTCAATTCCCAAGAAATATTTCAAATTTCCAAGATCTTTTGGTTTAAAACGATCGTTACTAACTTTTCTTCAAATCATTTCCTGCTAAGATTGTATCATCTACATAAAACAAAGTAGCAATAAAACTTCCTTTATATAGGACAAATAGTGAATAGTCTGCCTTAGATTGCTAATATTCCGCGTCTTTAAGAGCAGAAGAAACTTAACAAACCATTATGTTGAAGCCTAGTTTAATCAGTACAAACCAAACGAGATTTATGTCTCTCACATGAGCCATCAAGGTTATATTTGATCTTGTAAACCCATTTGCAACCAAAGAGTTTCTTACTAGAAGTAAGTGAAGTTAAGGTTCCTGTATTGTTTGTCTCAGGAGCACTAAATTTTGCCTGCATAGGCATCTCTCCATTTTGGATCCTTAAAAGCTTGTAAAAAAGTTGTAAGTTCTATTTCGAGAGAAATAGATGTGGTGAAAGCTTGAGTTGGAGATAATTGATCATAGGAAAGAAATTTGGACAAGGGATAAAGATTACCATTGGTGAAGACCTTTGCTAAATTTGAAGATTGAGTAGTCCAAGACGAGTGTCTATACTCATGATAAAAATCACGCATTATTTCGTTCTATATAAATGGGATGAAGGAAGTAATAATTTCTCTTGATCCGAACATTATTATTTTATAGAAGTTTTACTCTAATTTCATTCTAAGCATCTAGGTATTGGGTTTCCACAAGACTAGCGAATGGTTCATGTCTCAAGTTCGAGATCTTCAAATCTCAACTAAGCTAGCTGACCAAAAAATTCTTTATTATTAGTGAAAGTTAACAACTCGATCCTAAAGTTACCTAGAGGGGGTGAATAGGTGAAAATTGATGAAATAAAATTATCGATTAAAAACAAGAAGTCACTTATTAATTGTTTTATATTTTAGTCAATCAAGTCAATACATTCTATGTTAAACTATCATAATTTGTAATTTGAAGGCAATAAAGAATACAATAATAGTTGAAGAAGAAATCCAAACTAGGTAAAAATTTCGGGACCAAGTCATTAACCTCCACTATAAACAATAAGAAACTTACAGTACGATCCAGTCTAAAAAATCCACTAAACTCCTTGATCTAATTTCTGCAATCTCCAAGACCCGCTAGAACGTGCTTTATTTACACCTGTTTTCGATCTTTTGAAATTGTCTATTTCCTATGAATTACTAAGAACACCTTGTTCTTGTATTATTCATGTGCTTCTGGTTCAACCTCCTTGAATCTAGTCCAACCTCCCTGAATTTTCAGCGATCTCTGAAAGCTATTGAGAAAGTATTTTCTTGTGTGTCTATAGGAAGTGAGTATTTTGAATTATGTGAATTTGATGTTTTTCTCAAAGTTGTGGTTAAATGAACTCAAAAATCAAATGATTAATTTAAGGCTTAAATGGTTTCGTGCATCTTGTAATGATGTTATGGAGAATGAATATAATAAATAACCGCATCAAAAACGTACTAGGGCTTGGGTATATATAGTAGTAGGCAATAAGGTAGCATGGGCCAGATAAAACTCTTGAAAAACGCGAATTAAGATTTTACACGTAACACCATTGCTCGAGCGACAGGCGAACAACTAGTGTATCGCTTGAGCAAGAGTTAGGCAACACGCGGGCGACAATATTTTTGTTTTTTCGCTCAAGCATCAGAAGGTAGGATAGGCTAGCGTAAATCTAACGACTTTTTCCTTCTTGTTCCAAACTCGAACCCTAAGATACATAGAGCCTGTTTGGGAGTGATTTTGATAATTAATTTTTTGACCGTTAAGAAAAAAGTAAAATCCACCTGTGAGAGAAGAAGTCAAATATGACGGCTGAAATAGTAAAAAAACGGTCAAAAAATCAATTTTTTGGTTAAAAAAAATCACTCCCAAACAGGATGATAGTTCATCTATACAACATTTCAACTGACTCCTTCACTTTTACAACCTTTTATATTAGTCCTTTTGTCTAAAAAATTGTCAATACAATTAAATCCTAACAAGAAGTCAGCCGTAGCATGCACAAGAGAGAATCTCAAGTTGTGCACATCAGTTCCCCGAACCCCCTCCGTCCAAACACCTTAGTGCAGTATTTGATAATTGAAAGTGAAGGATCAGAAAACCCAAGAATCATTACACAAGGAAACGCTTAAATCAGGGCATTATATTTTACAAGATGCTGGTGCGAAGGCCTTGACTACAAGTAGAAAATCAAAACTTGGAAGCAACTTTATAAATCATATTATGCCTAAACATTTTTTTAAACCAAATAATAACTACATGAAAAACACGTTATTCCCATTGTACCACCCAATTAAATTGGAATGACCAGTGCAAATCTCCCATGCACGTTTCAATGAAGTTATACCCAAAATTTACAAGGTTGCAAATTTAATGTTATGAAGTAAGACCAATCAAAAACTTATTAACCTCAGAATATGCCAAACACCAGCATTTTGGCATGGCAAATCCATTACTAGACCTCAGCCTGCTTGCTTACACTACTGCAACCAAAAGCTTAGCATCTGAATGAAAATTCCGCAAAGAGATTGATGCACTCAAATTCATTTGACAAGCTATGTTCAATCCTTCTCTAAAGCTTGGAAACAACGAATCAGATAAACTATAACCAAATATTTTTAAGCCTAGAGAAACCAAAAGATATGGTTCCCGTGAAACAAACACACAATTATGCATGGTAGGTTGAGCTATTTTAGTTCGTGTCTATTTCGTTCGTGAAGAATACTATCAACACTTTAGTTCATCCGACAAAATTAGTACTGTGCTATATTAATTTCGGAAGAGGCGTTTCATCTTGGGAGATAGACGTTCATTTGACCTTGTTAGCACCATTACAGGAGATGAAATTTATCTTAAGAAAATTTATATTCACATACTTGATTCATTTGATCTTGTTCTAATTTCTACATTCAATAAGTCGC